AAGTAGTATAATAAACGGAATATGCGAATTGAATTCCCTTCCCCGAAAAGAATCGAGAAACCTTGCGCTTCAAATAAAATTTGTAAAATTGAAAAAGGGGAATTTTCTCTAAAGCCTTTTTCATGCTTTCAATTTAAATGGGTTTTTTTTCCCCTTCGGCCTTAAAGGACCATGGTTGGAATTGAACTTTTCTTGGAGAATTTTAGTTGTTATTTTGACCCCCCGGAGAATTATAATTTGTGATAAATTTAGAGAACTTGAGAGGGTTCAATTGGCCAAGATTTTTTTTGGATTGTTTAGATTACAGATCCTCACGATAAGGGCTAAACTCATTCTAAAATTTCTCTCTCCGTCTCAATTTTTTTCTATAATATAAAGGGTATATTAAATCTTAAATCCAGAAACCTTTACCGAATAGCAAAATGAAAAGTAAATATCACCGGATAATATGTATATTTTATTTGAAATAGAGTTGAAACCCATGAATAGTCATTAATTCATTTCAGTTCCCAAATTCCTAGTTCAATTACAACTATTTAATAGAACTGTTCTCCCAATCAGTTGTGTTTCATTTGAGTAGAGTTTAGCTTTAAATTGAATTCCCCTTATATTGAAATATATATATATATCCAAGTCACGTGACATACACATGTATATACCCACCATTGTTGATATATATAATAAAAGAACTCTAGATGAAGGGCCAATTACCTCTCTACGATCACTCAAATATTCAACAATCCAAACGAGATATTTGAATGGGTCTTAATTGTACTTGTGGGATAAATAGATCTTTCCAAATTCCATTCTCTTTAAACAATCATTCTAAAATTATCTTGTAAGTAAAGACTCAAATGGGTTCACATGAAAGATCAGACAATACAGCTGAGACTGAACTTCTTATCTAAAGTGATTACTAATATCACCCAAACTACAAATTATAATTGAAGCTAGCTGTTGTATAGCTTATGTTCTTGTCTCTTTCTTTATTTAGAAGTTGTTATTAAAGTTGATGAATCTTCAGATCAATTTGATGAGTTTCAAGCTTTAAAAAAGTTTCAATCTCATCTCATCTCATCTCATCTCTTCCAAGTTGATGGTTTGAGATAATATCAAGAAAGTAAAGGAACCAACGATCCAGATATGTTTGATCCATTGGACATGTATGATGCGGACTCACAAAGTTCATTTGATGAGGGTTTGGAGCTTTTTAATCCATTAAATAGAGAGAGAAACGACAATTATGTTAAGAGCAAAAGTGATGAATTGGAAATTTTAAAGGGCGTTGAACAAGAAGATGAAGATGAGGATGAGGACTCTATTGTAGAGGTACTTGATTTACCTTCAGTCCATTATGCTAAGCCTGAGGTCATACTTTGTATTTTATTATTATTACGACCTGATGTTCAAGTTAACTTTCAAAAAAAGCAAGTAGATAATGATGAATCTGATGTCGTTAGTAGAACTTGTAAAGAAAAAGGAATATCAAATGAGATTCTACTAGAATTAGTCAAATGGTATACCGATATTTTCCCTAATAGCAATTTAAATAGTACTCAGAAGCTTTGTTTGAAGATTCCTCAAGTTAAAAATACATCAACAAAAGAATTATTATTGAATTATTATACATCGATTCTAAAAAAATTTGAGATGCTGCAATCCAATGATACCAACAATATCGATGATCAAATTATAGAATCTATATTGAAGGAATCAAGCCTAAGAGTATCTGAAAATTGTGGAAGAACTGCTCAACCATCGATGACAAGGGAATTTAAAATGGATAACCTTGATCAAACTGTTAAACTATATGAACCATCATTAACTGCAGATAATTTAGGTTGGAAAACCTGGGGATCTTCTTTAATATTATCTCAAAAGATGGTTAATTTTTTAAACAACTATAAATATAGCAACCAAAGTGACGATAAATTAAGAATTTTAGAGTTGGGAGCAGGTACAGGTTTAGTTGGCATTTCATGGAGTTGCAAATGGAAAGAAATGATGAAACTTACAAATGGGAACAATCTTCCAAACACAGAAATTATTTTGACTGATCTTCCAGAGATTGTTGGGAATCTACAAAGAAATATTTCAATCAACAATTTAAATGATATCGCAAGAGCCTCTGTGCTAGATTGGACTAATCCTAAAAGTTTTATTCAAGAATATTCTAATGAAAAATTTGACATCATATTGGTTGCAGACCCGATTTATTCACCAAAACATCCAGAATGGGTTACTACAATGATATCCACGTTCCTCAAATCAAATAATGATGCAAGATGTTACTTACAACTACCAATAAGAGCAAAATACAAGGAGGAAAGGTCAAAACTATGGGAACTGTTAAAACACGATAACCTTAAAACGGTTTCTGAGGAACAGGATGTTGGAACCGATGATTGGGGAACCGTTGAATACATTTTCAAAGAGTTATCATGGGAATAATTAAGAAGCATTATATCTTAATTTTAGACCGATCTTTATTGTCATTATACGTCTAATTCAATTAATAATTTTTCTTTTTTTCCCTCTCTTACATTATGAGGTTATAGCTGATTCATTAGTTGACCCTTTCTCTGACAATGTTGCCGTCTAGTAAATGATGATGCATCAACACTCCTTTACCTCCCCTCAGTTGCAATACAATTTATCAATATAGTTAAATGCCTTGTTGGTTGTATGCGTTTCTATATGTGTTTACCAACCATTACCATTATGGTTAAGTTTCATTATATCTTCTGATTTTTCGATATATTTTAAAGGCCATTTTTTAAGCCCTTGACGGACGGTATTGAAATTTGAACAGACTATTTAACATTCACTTTTGTTGAACATTAAAAAGGGTTTTTGATAGGTTTTAGTCATTTGAATGAAGGTATATGGCTAAGCAGAAACTTATTGATCATTTATAGAGGTTATAGATTTGATATTTGTGGGTTTCACACTAATACTGATAAAAAAAAAATAACAACAGATATAAAACGGAGAAGATTGAATCCTCTTTACGAAGACAATAGTTACAAGTGAGAATAAGATGACAAATACTCTAAATATTGATTCAGTTTGTGTATATTGTGGTTCTTCGTTTGGTAATGGTGAGAAGTTTACAGAACAAGCCACTCGTCTTGGTGAACTGCTCCATAAGAATGGTTGGCGATTAGTTTATGGTGGTGGTACTACAGGTTTGATGGGGACTATTGCAAAAGCTACGATGGGTCCAAACTGTGATGGTAATGTATTGGGTATTATTCCTGATGCGTTGGTCAGTAAAGAAATGACTGAAGATTCAAAGAATAAAATTGATAATTTAAATGAAGATTTGAAAAAATCAGTAGAAAATCATCATGGTTCCTCTCCTATTTCTTCAGAATATGGTAGAACTGTTATTGTATCTGATATGCACACTAGAAAGAGGTTGATGGCTGATGAAAGTAATGCGTTTGTTGCCATGCCTGGTGGGTTTGGAACTCTAGAAGAAATCATGGAATGCATAACTTGGTCTCAACTAGGAATTCACAGCAAACCTATTGTTTTATTTAATATGGATGGGTTTTATGATTCTTTGTTGCAATTTATCGAGAATTCTATACAATGTGGATTCATCAGTGCTACAAATGGCAACATCATTCAAGTGGCAACTACTGCTGAAGAAGTCATCGAAAAATTACAATCGTATATTGTTCCAGAAGGTCGCTTTGCTCTAGATTGGAGCATTAACTGTCAAGGTGAACATGAACTAAATGGTAATTAAACTGCAACATTTTTATTTATTAAAAAAGAAAAAGAATGGGTATTCACTTAAACTATCATTTGTAGAATGGAGATAATCAATCTGTTAAATGTCTCTAGTATTTGGACTTGATTATCTTAAAATAAGTCTATCATCATTTTGAGTACCAAAAAGTAAAGAAAAGTTACAATAATTCCTGTTTCTATGAAATAGGAGCTTCTAACCTCTAATGCAATACTTTAGATGGTTCGTTCAATACAAATACAGTTCCTTGCAACTCTGTCAAAGTTTATATATTTTAAACCTTTTATATTTTTAAGTCTTTAATTACCTGATCTAGTTTAATATAAATCGTTGTAATAATAATCGATCAATTTTTGAAATTTTTACTGTACATTAAACATCTAATAACAGTCATCGTAAGGAAATTATCAAATATATAGAGGTATAACTGAACTTGAAGGTTTATCATTGTTACTGATACAACTCATTTGTATTTACCTAATAGTTTGTTTGTTTTAAATTACATTAGGCTCTCGAGCATTGTCAAAGTTAGCAAGATGAGTGATCAAAATAATGCAAAGGCCAAGATTAAGGCAAAGCCTGGGTTCAGTAATCCAGCTCTAAAGGCCATGGGCATATCAAGAATTAGACTACCTTCGAGGAATTGGATGATATTTTTATCAGTAACTACATTAGCTATATCAGGTGCCTTGTATGATAAAAGAAAACAGAAGGAAATACGTTCACATTATATCGATAAGGTAAAGGATAAATCTCTGGAAAAATTGGATAATGATAAAAGAACAAGGAAGATTACAGTATTCATTGCACCACCTCCAAGTGATTATCTTGACAGTTCGTTAAAAATCTGGAGGAGATATGTAAAACCAATTTTATACTATGCTGGTGTGGATTACGAGGTTATTGAAGAACATAGACAAGGTGTTATTAGAACAGAAGTGGCAAATAGAATTAGAGAAATTAGACAAAGACTGATTGATGAAGGGCATGTTCAAGGAAAACCTTCTAATGTTGAAAATACAAGTGAATTGGATGAAGAAAATGGCAAAGATTTTAAAAAGAACTTTGATTATAGAAGAATTATGGGTATCTTTTCTAAGAAAAGCCCACCAGAACATATAACAAGTGAGGATGCATTGGCTTTAGAACCACAATTAGCTGGTGGTGTTATTTGTTTGGGAAGAGGTGCATACAAAGAATATATTAATGGTTTACACGAAGGTTTGCTTGGCCCACTGGAGCAGCCAGAAGATCAAACAAAAATTAAAGTTGCCAAGGAAGATATACCAAATAATGGAAATGCTGGCGATGGTATAGTCGACACAAATAGTCAAAATCTAAATGAAACCGTATTACCTGTATTAGATTCTGATGCTCCTTTGAAAGAGTCAACTAACGAAAACACTTTAGCTGATAAAGATAGTAACGGTAATGATGGTGGCGACAATGACAATGACGATGACGATGAGGATAAAAAAGTGGTTATTCTGCCATCTTTTATAAAACCTGAGGAGTATGCCGATACTGAAATACCGTTGGAAGTGTCCCAAGCATTACTAAAAGGTAATAATGTAATTAGAGATCCAAAAGATAATGTACCAATTTTATTATACCAACCTGTTCTATTGGTTCCAATTCCAAACTTGATTGGATTTTTGACCATACCTGAACGTATTTATAGGTTTTACAGGAAGAGAGTTTACGCTGAGGAAACATGTTCATCAGTAGCAGCATTAGTTAACCAAGAAAATATAAAACCATTCCAAAGCCCAGACGACTTGAATTTAGGAGTATTAGAGGAAGAAGACTGGCCAAAGAAATGGGTTAAGCAAGGTATGGAAAGAAAAAGTGAATGGACAAGAGAATTAAAGGATGACCAAAGAGTAACAGACCACATGTCTATAGTTCATAATATGCCTAATCCAAGAAATGATGATAATAATTAATCAAAACATTAAACGGAAGGATATTTTATTCTGTAGTGGGTAAAACTGTATTCATTTCTATAACATAATCATGTAGATAAATATTTGTAAATATTTAATAAATCAAATATATCAAATCTGAACTATAATAGACGTAGGTTTATAATTGGAGATAGATAATTTCGATTGGGCCACAGTTCTGAAATAAATATCTAGAGCGTCACTGTAAAATATGGGCAATTAAAGTGTCATTAGAATTATAACTTAGATATATGGTATTTATTAAAGCTGATTACTAAATTAGAAGTCAAGTTGTTTATGTGCCTTTTAAATGACTACGATACTTTTAAATAGGCATATGCGGGTTATAATCGACACTAGATGTGATCTGTGACACCAATAAAATTTAACAAACTATACATATCACTTAAATTATAATACACATTAGTATATATTATTATAAGGAATATATTAGATTAGCTTTAATAGTCTATGACAGTAGCTATTGGTGTGTGACACATTGTGACAATGCAAAGTGTCACTAGTAGCATATACAATCGAGAAAACTTGTATGAATGGAAGTGTTAATAGTCTTTCCAAATATATATATATAAATCTTAAATATGGGTAACTGTGCAAGTTGTCCCAAGTGACAAGTAACATTTGGGTTTGTCAATTATATTCCCTACCTCTATAATGACGTTAGCAATAAATTAATCTATTGCTGGTAGTATAAGGTAAATAATGACAACAATAATAAAATAAATGAAATCCAGGAATTGTTTAGGAAAGCAATATATAAATGATACTAAAAATAGTAATAATATTTAGATAAGCTGATTAGCACCAATTCAATAGGGATTTAAAACTCTTAATTGACCTGTGGTTGAACTTGAATTGTTTTAATAGGAAGTGTAACTACATAAAGAATAAGTTGTTCATGATGGAGAAATAAATATTCCCTTTTTACCATTTTAATTCGAAGTTAGAGAGAATTATAGCAATTCTTGAACGCATTATAAACAAGAGCTTTATGCTTATTTCAATTAAAGAATATTAAAACTTGTTGATCAGTGTTTAGTAATGGTAAGACACTGTCTTTTATATCTTTTGTATATAGGACAATTAATGATAAACGATATACTTGGCAGAATCGAAACACAGAATATCCGTTATATGGTCTAAACATTATCACGTGACTATACTACGTTCACGTGATGTATATCATTCTAAACGTCTGGCAATATCTAATCATTGCCAGCTGAAGAATAATCCTTTAGATTTAGTAAGATTAAATAAAGGCTATCTTCAAACTAGTAACAACATCTATATACAAAGTCTGTAACAACATCAATCCAAGAGTGAGGTAACTTATTAGTGGAAATCAAATAGGGTGGTATTACTGAGGACGAGAGGTTTTCTTTTATAGGGTCAAGTTGATATACATAAACGTATAAGTCATATTGGAAAAAAGTTATCAAAGATGAGTATATTCTTTAAAGCCCCAATTGATATTGAAATTTTACTAGATGGTGAAGAATCCAGAAATCACATTGAGGTATCCAATCCTTCTGGTTCTAATGCCAAAACCTTAACTGAATCTATGCCTGTTTTCGAAGATGGCGAAACAGTAAGCGGAATTGCAACCCTTAGAGTCAGAGATGGTAAAAGAGTAGAGCATGCAGGTATCAAAGTATCAATTGTTGGATCTATTGATTTGATTAAAGGCTCTGGGGGTAGCAATGGAGGTACTACCACTAGTAATAGCTTTAAAAGCGTAGACTCAAGAAAAAAATCAGTTGAACAGTTTTTATGTTTAACTTATGATTTATGTCCTGCTGGTGAATTACAACATTCACAAAGCTTCCCATTTAATTTTAAAAACTTACCTAAAAGACATGAGTCTTATAAAGGTAAAAATGTCGATGTTTCATATTATGTCAAGGTAACATTGATCAGGAAAGGTGCCGATATTTCTAAAATAAAGAAATTTTGGGTTAATCTTTACCTGAGTCAAAAGGAAATAGAAAATTTAAATAAGAAACCAGTTGCTATACGAGAAGAAGCAAATAAAACTAGAGAAGAAATCACTAAACCAAACGCCGAGGAAGAATCCTTAATCTCTAATGAATCAAAGCCAGTCAAATTAGACATTGGTATTGAAAATTGTTTACATATCGAATTCGAATACGCTAAATCAGCTTATTCTCTTAAAGATGTAATAGTAGGGAGAATATATTTCCTTCTATCAAGATTGAAAATTAAACATATGGAGGTAAGTCTTATAACTAGAGAATCTGCAGGAGTGTCATCCGCAAGTACTTTGGTTGATTCTACCGCTATAAGATATGAAATCATGGATGGTTCGCCAGTAAAAGGTGAAACTATACCAATTAGATTGTTTTTAAGTGGTTACGAATTAACCCCAAATATGGGTTGCAATTATTTTAATGTGAAAAATTATCTGAGCTTAGTAATTATAGATGAAGACGGAAGAAGATATTTTAAACAATCTGAAATAACACTTTACCGTCAAAAATAAATAACAATACCAGCTCAAGACATTTATTCATGACAATGATCTTAGACAAATGCATTAATCGAGTACAATTTTGAATTGGACTCTTGAGGAAATAAAAAAACGCATATATAAATAAAGAATATAGATAAATAAACCACCATTTATGTATATATGTATGTATATATAAAATATATTATCCGATATCAAAAACTTGTCATCAATTGAAATGAATTATATAAAAAGTACAGTTGATTAGACCTTTAATGGTTAAATTCTGGATCTTCAATAAATTTCATATTCTAAGATCACATAATCATATCAAATTACGATATTTCATATTGATAAATTATAAAAATGATTGATCTTCAACGTAAAGCTATGATTTGAATTAAGGTTGTTGATGGTATAGTGAGTTGTTATTGAGAGTTTGGCGTTGGATTTGATGAATATATGTATATACCAAATTCCAGTCAGTTTTTTCACTATTTGATATTCGATGGGACTACCGAAATCAAGGTTGGCATCACTTTATAAGGATTTTACACCTTTAAAAGAATTGAATCCCGATGGATATGTTGCTAACATCAATACTTGGGTTAAATATCTACATGAGAATTATTTAAGTGATACAAGAAACGTTGTTTTACATATTGGCACGCAATTTCTACAATGCCTTAGTGATGCATCTCATGGAACACCTAGTAGCATTGATTTAGTGATTGATAAACTGGTCGAAGATGGTGTATTGATCCCATATAATGAATTTACTAGCGGAAGTATTGGATTAGGTGTTAGTACTAGTATGTTTTCTTGGCTTACCAACAGATTTGGAATGTCATCAAGATTTACTAGCAGGAAATCGAATAATGAGATGGGATATTTAAAAGACATGGATTTAATTATAAAGGAAAATTTAATTAATAATTATAGTTTGATTATTGATGAGATAAATAGCAATATATTAGTGCATGTCACAGGTATATCAGATCTTGTCTTTTCAAGGGAACAGTTTATTCAAAGAGCAGGCGTCTCAAAATATCTTAACCTTGATAGTTATGATGCAATGCTATTATATTTAAAAGATTATAAAAAAGTGATTGCATATTCAGATAATGTAGTTAAAATAATAAATTGTCCTTTTATAAAGTCTTCCGCGTCCTTTCCCCAAGATATTACAGATAATGATGTTGCTATTGTTAATATTAAAACCAATATAAGCAACATTAGCCAAAGAATTAAACAAATGGAAGATAAAATAAGGTATTATAATCAAAAATTAACTGTGAAAGCAACTAAAAGAGAAGTGTTGAAGGAATATCTGAGAGCCAAGATGATTATAGAGAAACATTTATTAACTTTATTAAAATTCCAAAATAATTTGATAGAGGTTAAGCATCAGATTGATTTATCTGCTACTAATGCAACCCTTGTTGAAACACTATCGAGAAGTGTGGATGTAATGAGGTCATTAAATGAATATGCAGGATCGACTGAAGGAGTAGAACAATTGTTAGATGCTATTGAAAACGAAAAGTTGAAATCGAATAAGATTGGCGATTTATTGTCTTCAATTGGTTACAATGAAGAAGATGAAGATGTGGAAGAATTAGATAAGGAACTAGAGAAATTAACTCTTGAATCTGATATAGCAGAAAATGTTGATAAAGAGAAAGAAAATAAGGATAAACAACTCGATAAATTAAGAGACTTAATTTCAGTAAGTTCTGAACTGAAAAAGCATGAAAACACCAATACAGAAAAAAGTTCAGATAATGCAATGTTGATAGAAGAATAGGCAATGTACCAGGTTATTGGATTCTTATTTCTTAATAATTATATATATAGATATATATAATAGAGTTAAATTATATTTAAATATGTACCTTGACTAAACGCTGCCAGAGCTTGCATACACACAACTATATCTGTCATCCTTAATGCTTTTCTAGTGATTGTTCAATAGACTAGCTGGATTAATCATCTTTTTTGCTCTCTAGATTGAGATTATTACCATTGTAGGTTGGACGGTCATTCTTGTCATCTTTTTTGGTTTTCTTACTGTCGTTTGATTCAGGATTATTAGCCAAATTGGAAGAAGATGAATTTTCAGTAATCTGAGTAATATAAGGAAATGTGCCTGGAGATTCAAATCTTTGTTCGTTGTTAGCTTCTGGATAGCTAGAATCTGTATCAATTGGTGATTCGCTGCTTGATTCCGGGAAAGCTTGTTGATTGGTATCAGAATTGGATATTTGTGTCTCTATTGATGGTGAAGATCTCCAGAACCAAAGCTTATTCAAAATCTTTCCTACTACGCCTGAGTTTGTTATAGCTGATAAATCTTCCTCGCAAGGATCTAAAATTAAAACGGATCTTGGTGTTAATTCTAAATCTGTTAGAGATTTTGATTCATCCTCAGGACTGAAAGTAACCCTTGGAACATTTCTATGGAATAGATAAGATACAGTTCCGTCTGTTCTGTTTTCATCTACCCAATCTCTGACATCACGTAAAGTTTTGTCTGAGTCAAAAGTATTCTTCAATGAATCACTATTAGTTAATTTAATTAAAAGCTTACAATCCTTTAGGTTTTCGTATTTTTCTGATTTCTTGATATTATCATTCACTTCGGTTGGAACTACTTCAATAATTTCTTCATCAGAGATATCGTCAACAATTTGTTTCTGTGACAGTTCTCTATCTTTTCTCTCCTGTTTATCGGCTTGTACTAATCTCAGGATTCTTTCACGCTCTTTACGTTCAAGCTTCTTCTGTTTCATCACTTCTTGTTGATATATTTTCTGTGTCAAGTCATTAACTTCTTCTTTAAAAGTTTTCTTTGTTTCCTTTGTATCCTCATTGTTTTTCATTTCAGGAGTATTTTCCTGTTCATTGATATTTGGTGAATCGCAATTCGTAGATTCTAAATAATCAACGACTCTATTCCAATGAGAGAAATTTCCATGCCCACTTTCACCATGTATTACCATTTGGATCTGTTGATCTTTAATGAAATATAAACTAGGGGTTTGAATAGAAGGGAAAAGTTCTTTGAAATTAGTAAATTCATGCGTGCCTTGGACAATCTTCAACCATACGGATTTCTTTAATAATTTATCAGTAATCATTCTTGGATGAAACCAAGATTGTATCCAACTATCATCGTTACTGATGTCAACACCATAAACTACCAAAACTTTTCCAAATTGTAAAGATTCTGTAATGGCATCTTGAACAGATTCTGTGAAACCAAATCCTGACATTTCTCTGCTTCTTCTTGTAAATCTTGCTGCAATAACCAAATCAAATTATGACTCAATATAAACAAATACTAAGTCTTTCTAGTTGTCGAATATCTTCAAGCAGGTTCAAATTTAATACTATCTAATCAAAAGATTTCTTCAACTGTTATCAAATTCTATCTTAAAATTATCAAAATCAAATGGAATAAAAATGGAATATAAGATCAAATATACCACAAATTAGAAAACAACAAACCTTACTCCCAACAGAACGTAATCAAAGGATTCGAATCGATGTCTTTGGATTATCTTCTTGTAGTATCTTTCTCTCTTTTAATAATAATCGATAAATCCATTGTTTAATTGACAGATATCTAAAATTTCTATATAATTTATACTTAAAACATCCTTTAAATAATAATTAAAGGTCATCGCAATCAATATAATACTGCTTTCGAGGATAAATTTGATAGTCAACAGCTCAAAGGTATTTCAAAAGAGGATATAATTGAATTGTGTATCTGTTATTGTTGTGTGTATCAAGTTTTGTATGGTAATCATCGATATTGATCAATTTAATTGAATAAAATAGGTAAAGGATGAGTGCTACTGTTGAAACAAGAGATGAGTTCGAAAATGTTATAGTTTGTGATTTAAAATTAGTTTTGTTGGGTGACTCTTCTGTCGGTAAGACCTCTATTGTTGGCAGATTGACTACTGGCAATTTTATTAATAGCAATGCTACCATTGGGGCAGCATTTGTAACTACTACTATTGAAGTTGATGATGAAGAGATGATTAATGGTGGTAATAACGGTATGAGTAGTAAAAGGTCGATTAAGAAAAGGGTTAATTTTGAAATATGGGATACTGCAGGACAAGAACGTTATAGATCATTGGCCCCCATGTATTATAGGAACACCGATGTTGCATTGATTGTTTTTGATCTTTCTAGACCTCAAAGTTTTAAAGGAGCTCAAAGTTGGATTGAAGAATTAAACTCATACGTCGAAGAAAGTAGTCGGGGAGAGATAATTACTGTTCTAGTAGGTAGCAAGAAAGATATAGAGATCGGCCAACCTTCAATGGCACCTATAATAGACAACTTTGATAAATTAAAATTTACCAAAAATTTACAAAAAGTTAGTGCCAAGACAGGTGAAGGAATCCAAGAATTATTCGAAAATATAGTGCGTGAATTACCAAATGAGAAGTTCAGACCATTGGGTCAACCCAATGGTGAACCAGAACATCATAAACACATCAAGCTTGATTCCAAAACCAGATCATGGACAAGAATCACCGATAGAACTGCTTGTGAGTGTTGAAATTTGTAGTATTGTGTTAGTACTACTAGGCAAACCATTACAAAGACAAACTGAATCAAACTGGACTGTAGTAGACTGCGTCAGATTGATAACACAGACCCTACCATTAACATGTTCACAATATATTTATGCTCTCATTGCTTTAAACCTTTTTAACCAAACAGAAGTAGATTAAGTTCCCGGGGGTCTTTGGTCTCTTCAGTCTTGGCATAAAAGAAATTGAAAAGGTTTTTCACCAACACTTTTCAATTTGAACAAGAATAAGACAATAGTGGTCATTAGTTGGTATATAATTGGGTTCAATCAAGAACAGTAGTTGTCCTATTACTATTTTTCAAGGAAATATGAGCAAGATTTGGAAATTTACATCATTTGCAACTATTTCAAGTGTTGCAGCAGCTTCATTATACTTATATGCAATTGACAAAAATGGATACTATTATGAGAAATCAAAGTTTAAACAAGTCACTGACAGAGTAAGAAAGTTAATCGATGGTGATGAGACGTTTAAGTATGTTACTATTGATGATTTTGTAAGTGGTCCAACACAAATCCAAACAAGATCAAGAGGTGAAACTTTTAAAGATCTGTGGAATGCAGAAGTTCGTAGAACTGCTCAATGGATCTATTCTCTTGGGGGTCGTTAATCTGTAATGATAAACAAACATTCCACGATGGTGTTTCATCGACATCAACATCACTGTACTAAGCATGATTTATACTATCTACATGTAGTCTATTCCCTATATATTCGTTTTATATTTCTTAAGAATTTAATTTTATAATATTATCTACCAATTTGATAATAAGTTTACATGGTTTGGATGCGACTTAAAAACATGTAACATCTTGGAATCAGTAGAGTACCTCATCGACAACCCCATTGTTGCAGTTGTTGTACCATTTGGTCAAGATATCCCACTTTTCTTAGACCTTTTTTCATTTATTTTTATAGCAGTCTCTTAACTATTAAACAAAATTTTAAAGTAGAAAAGGCTTCAAATTAAAAACAAATATAAATTTGTGTGATCTGATTCAGTAGTTCAAGTTGAACTTATAAGGGCAACAAGTCATTGGAAAGGTCGAATTGGTGAGATCTGTTACATTTGGATGAGATCATAGTGATATTTGTTTGACAAGTGTGTGTTTTTTCTGTTGAAAAGGGGGTTTCCTAGTTCTCTATAAGTTAAAAGTTTGATTTTTAAGTGATTTAAAAGGTTCGAATAAGGTAACAAACGAATATACAAGGCAATGGTTGATCAGGATATTGCAAGCAGTCAGAGTACAGGTATAAGCACAGGTACCTCTGGTATGGCTGAGACGTTGAGTGAAGGAGATTTATTTGAAAGATCAGAAATTAAACGTATTTTGGATTCTGATGTAGCTATTAATACTCTTCTAGCACGTTTAAAGCAATCGCTATTAACTTGTGAAGAATTTACAAAATATATAAAGAAGAAATATATGTTTGAAGAAGAAAATGTTGAGGAATTATCAAAGCAGTATAAGCATTTCTTTAGTTCAACTTCAGCAACTGCACCAAGCTTAAGACGCAGTATTCAACAGATTTTGCAATTTGATGGTAAAATGGCGCAAGTTAAACAAAGCTATATTAGTGCATTGGTTAAAATGTATGAAGAATTAAGTGCTTTGTTATTAACAATGACCAAGATGAGGAAATCGATTAAAGAAAAAGGTAGAAGACTTGAAAAAGATGTTGTGGATTCTATTCATATCGCAGAAAAGGCTCAAGCTCGTTATAATTCTTTATGTCAGGACTGGGAAAAATTGAGGTTAACTGATCCTACAAAGACAAAGTTAACGTTAAGAGGTTCTAAAACAACAAAGGAGCAGGAAGAAGAATTACAAAGAAAAATTGACGCTGCAGATTTAGAGTATAAGCAAAGAGTGGACCATTCAACCTCATTAAGAAATAGTTTTTTAAATTCTGAAAGACCAAAGATAGTCTCAGAATTAAGAGATTTGATCTTAGAAATAGACACAGCTTTGACAATTCAATTACAAAAATATACTATTTGGACAGAAAATTTGGCTTTAAATACAGGTGTCACTATTTCACCTTTAGAAGAATCAAAATCAATGAGATCCATCGCTGCAAAAGTTACTAATGAAAGAGACCTGTATGATTATTTGAATAAATATAATAAGCAAAGTAAAGATTCGATTTTAGTGAATAGAAATTTGATCCCTGTGCCGTATAAGAAACATCCGTCTATGGCAAAAGGTCAACTGATCAATCCAACAGGTTCATTCACCGTTAATAGTTCCAGAAATACAAATAATTTTAAGAATTCGACAACATCAAAATCAATAAATACAGAAGGTGGTTTTCACTCGAATTCATCTAGCACTTATAATTCTCCTGCAAATTCAGTTAACAATTTGGGCTCGACAAAAACAAGTTTAGCAAATACTGCAATTGCATCAAGTATGTCTGGTATTGGTATGAATCTTTTAAGTCATACTGATAGCACAGGAAATCAATCACCTATCGATAATTCAAGCATGTTCAAACCTCCAAGTCTTAATCCTGGTAATGGGATTGGGAAACCAGGTAGAATACCAAGTTTGGCTACCACATCTTCTGGTGTGTCAGGTGACTCTGGAAGACCACTATCGCATATTCAAACAAACTCTTCGATGCCTCCTGGAACTCAAAAGAATTTCAAGACATTTGGTGTACCACTAGAGAGTCTACTTGAATTTGAACAAGAGATGGTGCCAGCAATTGTAAGGCAATCGATTTATGTGATTGATACATATGGTTTAGATTTGGAAGGTATTTATAGAAAATCTGCAAATATTTTAGAAGTAAGCAAACTGAAAGAGGAGATTGATAGAGATCCTTCTAATATTTCGATGATTCTCCCTCCTAAAGATTATACCGAAGCAGATATATACGTAGTCGGTTCCTTACTGAAGGCATTTTTTAGCGCTTTGCCAGATCCATTAATACCCTCTAGCACAGTCCCAGAATTAAAAATATGTCTATCTATTGATGATTATAATACAAGAAAAAATTATATTCATGGTTTAATATACAAGTTCCCAGATGCACAATATTGGACACTAAGGTCATTAATGTTCCATTTAAAGAGAGTTTCTGAACATGAGTCTGAAAATAGAATGAATATAAAGGGATTATCTATAATTTGGGGACCTTGCATTGTTCCACAAAACGATGAGGATAGCAACGACATTAACTTCCAGATTAAGATAATGGAAGTTTTATTCGATGTAGCAGATCAAGCATTTGAACCTGAGTGATCAGATTTCTCTGTGTAATACTAAAAATATAAGGACAAAACAGGAATTAATCATATTTTTTCATTAATAATATTTCATACTTCTATATTTCTTTAACTTTATAAAAAGATAATTTGTTGTACCATTTTAACATAACTATAAAAGGCAATCTTTATGCATAAATTAACATTATATATCGGAATCTTCTCAATTTTGCTGATTTAAATCTTGCATAGAGTTGGATTCTATACCAACAGATATTTCAGTAACATTTCAAAAACCCAGATACCTCAGTCTTTTGATCAGGGCTGAATGAATAGTTGAAACTATAGAGATTATTGTCTTTTACTAAAAGCTTTTTATTAACTAAGAGACTCAAGTCTTTTTTAATTTCATTTTCTTGGACATTATCATTTACCTCCAACTTAGATATTAATTCTCGAAATGATAATTTATCAATTTCATTGAATTGATAAATAATTGATGCAGTGAATAAATTTGAAATTATAGTCATGTATGATCCGTCTTTTAATTTTATTGGAGATTCTGTTTCTAAAACATGATACTCATAAAAAGAATTTAGTCGTTTAGAATTTTGTTCCTCTTCTAAAATTATAGTTTCCCACTCATTCTTGTATATTTCAGAAGGCCAACAAGGTTTTATGATTGAGGAAGGGAGATTAATATTATTATCATTTTTTAATAAAATATGAAATGCTTCTGTCTCATTATTATTTAGATGTAATGGAGCTTTGAACCCTTCAATAAAAGGTTTAACGATTTTATCTATAGCCTTTCCAACAGTGGGTATTTCTTTTCCAATAACCTCGTGAAACTGATGCTCTAAACATGACTCTTTGAAATAAGCTGAATTAAAATCTTTATTTAGTGTCATCATTCTTCTAAACAACGAAGAATAGTAATAATTAGTAAAAAATATCTCTGGTGCTACCAAATAATATAATGTATAAGATATCGCCGCTGAAAGTAATCTCAGTTCTTGGGCTTCTTCAATTGCGTTAAACTGGCTTTGATCTATAAGCTCTTTGTAATTATCCTTGAATAATTTATCCAGAAATTTTTGGAGTCCACGATATAAAGTTTTCTCATTTCCATAGCATTGTTTAAAATTGTTTCTAATACTTGCTAATAGAATATTATTGTAGCCAATTGAATTTTCAGTTCCAATGTACGCATCGACTTTGTCAATTGAAAATAAGTTATCAATCAATCTGTTTTTGTATATGATATTTCTAGATTTCACAAATTCCATTATTAGATTTGTAGAATCATTCTGCATCATTATCATGTCTGTGATATTTGTTATATCATCTCTAGAGAGTCGGTAATGAATTAATGATGTTATAATTAATTTAATATCTGATTTCAATGATTCTAATAACTCAATTCTACTTTTTTCCATTCTATACTCTCCAAAATATTGAGAAATTTGTAAAGTTCTTTTCCAAATTGGCATAAAACTTGATAATTCGAGCTTTCCCTCTTTTATTTTACTAATACTGCTTTTAAAATGATCATTTGCAAAATTAGGAATTGAATGATATAGTTTACTATCGATCATTTTGAACTTCTTTAAATAAATAATAGTACTCAAAATCTTATTGAAATCTTGAGAATTATCATTTATAAATAGTCTAATTGAATTTTGAAATATTTCAATATAGTTTGGAATCCTACCAACAATATAGTCTTTAACCAAATGGCTTAAATTAAATTCAGTTATCTCTAACTTTGAATTAATCCAACTTATATGACCATTAAGTATAGTTATAATCTTTTTGCACAGTTGGAAGGTATAATACAATTCAACTAAGCCAACGGTATCATTAGAGTCAGCATAATTAATATTATTCAAATATATCTTGTATCTAATCTTCAACTGATCAATGATCCATTCTAAGTGTGAGCCTTGTAACTGATTACTACTTGATTCGACATTGCAATTATCATATATTAACCTTCCAATTGACTCTAGCTGAATAGTTTTCTGTTTGATATCATTACCATTACTCTTAATTGACAAAATACAATCTAAAGCATCGATATATTCTTGTTTTAACAATTCCAACTCAAACTCCTGTACCATTGGATGGTATTCATTAAAGTTTCCTAGGTTTGCCTTATTGATATCCAATATTTAATATTTTAAATGATATCGGTTACTTAAAAGAACAAAACTGTTTTTAAATATCAACTATCTTGTAGTTACAGTTGTAGTTGTTATTGTAGGTGTTATTGTTGCTGTGGTGGTGGCAGTGATTGTAGTAGTCGTGATTCCAAGATCAGTTCGAGTTTGATTAGATCGTTCGTGGTTGATAATTCGCAAAGGATATTTTGAAGATGAGTGATGAAGTCGATAAAGCTCAAGAAGCAGTCGAAAGGTTTAAAAGACAAGGTTATTTTGATAAGATTAAACAGGATATTTTAAATAAGCAACTCTATGAAGAATCTAATTTATCTGTACAAGAGATGATTAGAGACAAGGTTGGTAAAATTGTCAAAGATATGGTTTCTGAAGATGAGAATTTGATATTTAAGAATAGAGGTTCTACAAGTGCTTTGATAGAGGCTCAGATATTTAAAGATGGTTATAAAAAATTGCAAGAAGGTGAAAATGGAATAAAATTAGACGAATACATTGATAACAGCCTTAGTGATAAAATTTTGCTGGAGGATATCAAATCTAAATTGTATGGTTTAATTGAAGAGGAAAAATCTAATTAACAAATCGATCTAATTCCATAATTGTTTCTCAAATTTTGGCATTATGGATATAAGTGATATGATATATTATCAACTCATCAATATTTCTAGAGAAATAATGTACTTGTTCCCAAGCTGGTTAAAATGATATGTAAATGCAGCCTACAAGTATATGCTGTTTTGGGATTTATTATTCTACACTGTTGACCTTATAATAACCCAAGGTCAATTCATGAACTTTCCGACTCAACGTTTTACAATGTCAAGAGTAAGAACTTCTATTGTTGGCAAAATTATAAGATTCGATTTTAAAAAAACTATGGAATGGTTGATATCTTTGATTTGTGTGGCAATTAAGGATTCTAGTTAACAACTACGGTTTGGTTAGCGAGGATATCACATTTGAATATTTCAAAAGTTATTGGGTAAACTTAAAGACGTAAAGACCTTATATATGCTGTGTAATCATAAAGAATAATATAAATATCTATTTGTTCATTCTCGAAAAAAAAAAACAAGTTCTACAATCTGAACTGGGATTGACTACGGATTAGATGCATCTTAGAAAATATTTAACAATATATTTTAGTTTATTGTTCTCATAACGTTAGAGTATCGAACCTTCATTTAATAGTCAGCCATCAAGATTTTGATATGATAGATGTAAAAAATATCTCCCGGGGGCGAGTCGAACGCCCGATCTCAAGATTACTTTGTTTGAAACATTACAGTCTTGCGCCTTAAACCAACTTGGCTACCGAGAGGATTTAATTGTTGCAAATTTTCTTAAGAAGTACTTGATATTTGTAGTAACCAGACGGGTCCGGGTAATACTATAATTAGCGTCACAATAAGGAAGATGGGACAAACGAGAAATTTACTGTCATTGGTCATGTGGTTGGAAACCAAAATAGTTATTGGTAATCAACCATGTCAGAATTATGAGATGACGTAAAGTCATACTCATTACATGTTGTGACCTAAAATGTAGGTAATATAATGGTAGGTACACAGGATATTGTCATGACGCAATGTTTGACATTGCCGCGATGACAATATATAATCCAATATTACAAATTCAATGGATTATGTCAGAAATTATGAGATGACGTAAAGTCATACACATTAATTCAATATTAATAAGGGTGAAGAATTATATGAAACATCATTATTAATAAGGGATAAAGAAATGTTTATAATACGAAAGTATTTGCTTCTGACGTGTCAATAATATCTAAACATTGTATATAAAGTCTGGTAAGATCTTAATTGACACTTATCATATGTACTATATTCCCATGTGTATATTTTATACTTTAATACACCGGATCAATATCAACTTATTAAGAATGTCCTTGCAAACAACTAAACAATCTACTACTATTAACGATTCTGTAAATAACTAACAAACTTCTTGTTCAGATGTTAACTTAATATCTGAGTGATTCATTTGGTGATTTATATCTAAGATGATTTTTGAAGTAATAGTAATATTTATTTATTTCTCCGTACTGTCTTATAAATGAACTAAATAAATATATAATAATAAATTGGACAAATGATATTTTGATATTCCAAAATATCATGTCCTTTTTATATGGTTAGATCCAATTTCATAATCTTAGTATTATTAATTAATTATCAATAATTCCTTTGCACTTCACTACCGCTGATACAATTGATCGTTGTCAATTCCTGGGTTATAGTTTCTTTTTATAATTACTTTTTATAATTACTAATTGTTATTACTAATCATAACTACTCATTATGATTGCTGATCATCATTACTAATCATAAGTACGTATTGTAATTTCTAATTGTATCCTGATATTAATAATCATATTAATAATCCATTGATTTAGTAATATTGGAACATATATTGTCACCGCGGCAATTGTCAAACATTGCGTCACGACAATATCATGTGTACCTACCACTATATTACCTATATTTTAGGTCACAACACTTCTGATTCTCTACAGTTTTTTTATAAGATTCGTTTGTGGGCTTTAACAAATTATAAGCATACCAAGTAGAATTGAAGAAAGAAGCAAAACAAAGAGCAAAAGCTCTATTTCCTATCTTGAGAATACGTGTTATTTCTTTTATTGATATTTGGAGCTCTAATTATTTTTAACAGTCACTCAACCTCATATAGAAACGTTCTAAAAGAAATTATAAAAACTTATTAAAGATTTAGTGACGTTTCGATATACCATTTGTCGATTAATCATCCATGGCCGACACTCTCTCACATAGAGAAGAACAATATTGTTACCCTGCCTTCTGAATTCTAACTAGTGGGTCTGTGTTTTTTTGCCGTTCGTATCTTTCTTATCACGTGACTATTTTTGTTTTTCACTTTTTGCCAAAAAGAAAAATGGAAAAAATATTGAAAATTGATGAGATGAGATTAATTCTCACTATCAAATTTGAGTTATCAACCAGAAAGCTCTTCTATCAGTTCCAATTGACTTTGATCTTCAATTGAATCAAGTTAAACTAGTACATCTGGATTTTTAGAACTTTCTTTTAAGTGATCTGTGATTTTTTTTTAATTGTAGAGTCTTTTTAGTGAAGAATACATAAACCATCATCTACATACTAATACTAGCGGAAAAAGGACAAAAATGGGTAAAGAATCTAAAGAAGTAAAAGGTGAAGACAACTATGATACTAGAATGCCAGCTGTTCTGCCATTTGCTAAACCACTGGCCTCTAAAAAATTGAACAAGAAGTTGTTGAAAACTGTTAAAAAGGCTTCAAAGGCAAAGAATGTTAAGAGAGGTGTTAAAGAAGTTGGTAAAGCTTTGAGAAAAGGTGAAAAAGGTTTGGTTGTCATTGCTGGTGACATTTCTCCAGGTGATGTTATTTCTCATTTACCAGTTTTATGTGAAGACCACTCTGTTCCATACATCTTTGTCCCATCTAAACAAGATTTAGGTTCAGCTGGTGCAACTAAAAGACCAACTTCTGTCGTGTTCATTGTTCCAGGTAGCAATAAGAAGAAGGACGGTAAAGGTAAAGAAGAAGAATATAAAGAATCATTCAACGAGGTTGTCAAAGAAGTTGAAGCCTTATAATCAGTATCATTTACCATGTTAAATTCGTGAATGTAAAGATCGATGGGTTTATTTTTTTTTATGAAGGAAACAGTATAAAAATATATTGATTTTATTATTATTTTTGCATTGTCATCAAACAACTTCCCAACCCTGTCCTAGATTATTGACTAAGAAAGCGGTAAAGAAGATACGATGCAAGATAATATTAAAATGTGTCATTAAACAGGAAAAAAAGCAAATTAGTATCTTCTCTCCCAAAATAAACCAATTATTAACGTTTGTAACATATATATATATAAAGCAAATTACCACTATTTTAATGAATATTATCATTTAGTTAATGGAATATTGATAAATCCTATTTGTATATCTGTCAGTATCTTTCTTTCCTTACCATACCAATCAAGTATTTACAGTTTCGAACCTTCTTTATCTTAAGAGCGAAATTAAAATATTCATTCATCTAACTGATATATAAAGAGGATGGAGGAATATAAAGAATAACAGTAGTTTACTATTGTTAAATAGACGATTGAGTATTAGAGAGTGTTGTAGGGTTTGGATCATATTTAGAGTGGTATAGAGTTGTAAATATGCCAATTAAGAAAAGACCAAGGTCGGGAGATGGTAAAGCATCCGGTTCATTTAAGAAGCCTAAGAAAACCTATCAGGTAAATGAACAATTTACATCTCAGGATATATGGAAAAGTTTAGATAGAATACGAAAAACACATAATAATGTCGATTCAATAATTCCTAATAGTTCGCTATTTGTTGTGTTCTATCCATCATTCAGTAAACAAGAGGTTGAAAGCTGTGTTTCTGCTTTATTTGAGTATATCGATTCTAGCAAAGTCAAAATCCATGAGGTTAAAAATAAAGATAACATCAGATTCATCTCAATTACAAACTTCAGTATACTTGATTGTTCACTGATACTGACTGTGTTGTTCATCTTTAAAAACAAAAAATGGGTAGCTCCAAATAATTATGATTATTTTCAAACGTTGAAAGATATCAATATTAATGGTTCGTTTTATATCCCAAATTCAACGTTATATCAAAGTGAAGAAGTAATTGATCCAAAACTTAGAAAATCATCCACTCCATTTGTAAAATCAATTATACCGAGGTATCAAAGCATGGCGGACTTCATCGAATGTAGTATATCAAGTACTGATCAGAAAAGTGTTAGTTCATTCATTAATGAAGTGACAACATTCTTCTCCAGATTGAAATATAGCAAAAAAGTGGTTACTTCACGTCAATTCAAAGAATCTTTAGAGCAACATCTCCAGAAATTTGAATTGCAAATTACTGAAATGTTTTTAAAGCCTTTCCAATTATTCGATACAGAAAGTGTGACTAATAATAATAGTGCATTAATAGAATCTTCTAAAAATAACCTTTCAAAATATATCGAAAATTTAAAGAATTATAATGAAAACACTGCTATAACAAAAAGAGAAGAAACCGCCAGCCAAGTATCCACGACGAAACGAACAGCTAAAAAACAGTTGATGACTAACAATTTTGATCAATCAAAGAGAAATTATACTGCTGCCTCAACAGTTACTACTACGATAGCTACGAATACTACCACTTCTATTACTACCACGACTAAAAACCCAGTTTCTCGATATTCTAATAATGAATACTCTCCTGCCAATAACACAACGAAAAATACTACTCAAGGGGATCAAACTTCGTCACATAGACCAAATTTTATGACACAGGAGGAAATCAAAGACCACTGTTTAGCAACCATCAAAGCATCTATCGATCTAGTTAAATCTAAGTCACCTTATCAAATTCTAAGGGCATATGTTAAATGCCCCAGACAAAATTACATCGATCTAATTTATCAACATTTAAATGAATTAAGATCATCTACAAATTGCAACATCGTGATTTTACATCTAAACAATTTACATGAAGCACAACCTTGGTTTAATTCCTTGGATATTTCAAAATATACAAATTTTTCTCAACAACCACATCAAACAACAGTCAGAATTATAAGTATCGGTGGTGTGGGTGAACATATACTAAATGCATTAGATCAAATATCAAATATTCTAAATTAAATCATGACAGATAGGAATATTTTCCAGATGAAAGAATAATATTTAATGGCATATAAATGCCAATTTTTCATTTTCTACCTGATCTTTTATCTGCGTTTAAAACTGTGTTTTTTCCACAAGAATCAAAGGAAAACATTATAAACAACTAAAAGTTAACGAACATTAATAATTATATATAAATAATAGAATAGTTCATTGTCTTATCGTTAATTGAATCTTTATCATTTTATGACGTTTTCTTAACTGTCAGTTTCTTTTTCTCCCTTGCACCCACTACACTATGTAAGATTAAGTAATGGCAAAAAAATTTAAAATAAGAAAAATCATAGAGATAAAAGTTTAAGGTACCTGTTTATTAATCAGGGACTTTTAGTTCAACAGATTTGTTGATTAAGTTGTTTAAAGTTAGTAGCACACTAAGAGGAATCGATTATAAATGTTTGGAGGAGGAGGAGGAAGCTCTAACAAGCCTAAAAGACGTTCTTTTTTCTTCCTAGGAGGAAGTAATGAATCTACACCTGCTTCAAGTCGAACTGTCTCAAAAAATGATGGGAAAAAGGTTAAAGAGACTAAAACTACTAGAAGTGTGTCTGCTCCTAAAGAAAAGTTACCTTTGAATAGAAGTGGTTTCATGATTAATGATATAAAAGCTGATAAAAACATGATGCAAAAGCGAATACCTACCCCAGTAATTCAAACTCAAAATAATAATACTGCAAATAATAATGATAAGATTAATATTAATAATAATAATGCTAATAATAATAATAATTCCAATAACCCATTTAGACAACCTTCTTTAGTCGCTGAGGAACCAGTTCGAAGGGAAACGAGATCTAGAAGACCTCCACCTCCTACTGTAGATTTAAGTTTAATTCAACCAGTTATTTCAAATGGACCTCTACGAAATGAGTTACAGTTAAATAATCATAATGCTTCTGAATCAACAATGGATATGTCCAACTTTATAAAAGGACCAGAAGAGATTGGACTCGATTCAAGTAGGGCGGATGTTCCATCATCTCAACAACACAGACGTCAAAGATCAGAAGCTGAAAAACTAGTTGATGATATAGCAGAATATATAGAGGAGCAGCAAATACAAAACAAGAATTCCAATCGTTCACTAACAGCCAGTATTGATGAATTGCCTCCAGTTTCTCCAGTAGACGAGTTACATTTAAATACAGATAATCTTTCAATTATGGATGGCAATGGTGATTCAAGAACTGAAAATTTGAATGATTTTGATAACAGTTTATCCAATGATGAATACTCAGATAGATTAAATCTAGGTGTTGAGAAGGTACCTAGTAGCAGTATCGGCGATACTTCTTCATTGAATATTTCTACAGGATTGGAAAGTGAAAGGTTTTCATTTACAGGGACTGTAGATGCGAAGTCGATACAAAGCTATCAAAATGCTCGATCAAGCACAGTTGATAATTCTACATCTGTATTAAAAATAAGTAATATTAACACAAATGAGTTTTCTGATCAAAGTTCTTCCTCTAACAGTTCAGAAAATAATCAGGGATATATAAATACTAATTCAAGAATTGAAAAGAATTCAAATCATTCAAATTTAGAAAACCTTAGTACGGAAACTTCGGATAATGAGGATTATGTGATATACAATAGTTATACTAATACGGATGGTGACTCCTGTGTTTCAGGACCAAAAACTTTTAGAGTTGTCAACCAAGATAGCACCAAATTTACATTAGGAACTGATGATGATTTAGCAACTTCCACAGAGGATGATGTCAAAACTAATGATTTAGCAAATAGTTTTAATGATTTAGCAAATAGTTTTAATGATTTAGACTTCAAATCTGGATCTTTAGATTCGCACAATCGTGATGTTGTAACTCCTACAGTTGAGACACATGATAGTATCTCAAAAAATGGTAGCTTTAATATTGCTTCAAGACCCGAAATTCCTTCTATTCCAACTTCTCCAGAAACGGCAGATCTAAGTATATACCATCAGTCTTCAAAACAAATAAGGGCGGCTATTAATTCAAACAGCATAAACAATTCTAGCTCAACAGTTTCTAGTACACCAATATCAAATAAACGTGACACTAATGTTAGATTGGTTTCAAGTTATGTGGAAGAACTGCGTCTGAAGTACTTTACAACTTCAAATTTTTTGCAGGCTCCACCAAATCTCCCAATTACTTTAAAGCAAAAAAATAATTTGATCCAACCGAAAAACATTAAAGTCACAATACGAACCAGTTCAAAACAGATTGGTATTAAGCATGGTAAAGTTAAAACAAAGTTATTGGCCTTAGAGACGACTAATGAAGACAGCAATGAGAATACAGTTGGCTCTTCACAGAACCCGAATAAAATCGTTGATCATACCAAAGAATTCCATAATCTTATTAAAAAGAAGGATGATACTGGAAGCAATGATGAAAATGATCATTATAGCAACAGTTACATGAAGGATATACCTGGAGATGATGCTTACGATAGTGATGATATATTGGCACCGTTAAGAAAAAAGAATAGTTTGGAGGAAACGCCGACTAGGCATAATACTGTTGTCAGTTATTATACAAAAACTAAAACTAGGTTAAGAAGTGGTACTCTTGACAACTCTTATTCACAACTGCAGGAACTACCTTCAAATATTTTAATTAGTGATTATGAAGATAAGGAAAATATAAAGGATGCCAATTATGACGATGTATCCAATAGCGAAGGTGATTCTGAACAAGAATACATTACAAGAGGCAATTTGCATATTGCTAATCCTGATGGGGAATCGGATTAGTTTAAATGGGTAAAGGTATTGATATCCTAATAATAAGAAAATAAAATAAAATTAAAGGACATTAGTTTACTTAAAGATAATTTCAGTTTTTAATATGTAATTTTGAGTTTCAATTTGCATTTTTATTCATTAAGTTTATAATTATTGAATATAATATATATTTACATGTTTGAAGTCAGGAGAAGTTAAGATTGATTACACTTCTTTTGGAGAATTATTGAATGGTACTTGGAATCCACTAATTACTGATTTAGCTTGTAGATCGTTTTGTGCGGTTGTATTGAAATTAATATGCATACCGAATGTAGCAGGCCATAGATCTTGGTTTAAATCAATTTCTGGGAAAAACTTCACATCTTCTGAACTCAAACCTAACGATACACTACCAAATCTACTACCAGAGCTTTCATTAATACCTTTATATTCTCTAATTCTTGGCATAACAATTTCGGTCAATGTTGATAGGAATTGATACATAGGACGACCCTTTAATACGACTTTTGCACCCATTTGACGACCTTTTCTCAATTTCCAATTTGGAACATCAGATTTTGAATATATAGCATTTGGTTTAACACCGGTGATTTGTTGTAATTGCAAAGCTGCGGAAATGGCTAATAAAGAATTATCCTTTGCTTCACTCACATAACAATTCAAGACAATGTTATCAAGTTGTGGGATATTTTTCCAATCAATTACATTAATATTAGGTAATTGAGCTTTTGAACCTCTAGGTAGTCTTGCTTTTCTATTAATATGGTAAGGAGAAGTTCCATCCCATTGTCTAGTTTTCAAACCTTCTTCGACCTTTGCCCCGTGAGAATAATTTAATAACAAGAGATCAGGTTGTAAAGTATTTAAATAATGCTCTTTACCTCTGTCCTGAGCCACAGCAATTGGTTTGAAAGCAGGAGAACGAATATCATTTTTTTCATATTTCATTTCAGGGAATCTAGAGGTCAATTTAGATTTATCAATCTTAACCAAATGATGAACAGGTTTAACAATTGAACATGCTGATTTAGATGCCAAACTTGTGCTTGAAAAACATCTTACTGAACCATATAATAAACCTGGCATATTTTATACTTAATTAAAATTCTAGCCTTAAATGTAAAGGTTTGGTATTGTATAAGTTCTGGACCCTATTTTCACGAAATTAACGGACACTACCCAAAAGAAAACACCTAATTCCTCAGATCCCTTGATCTACAGCACGCAACTTATATCAAATATTGGATACCTGGATACTATTCTAGTAGAAAGATAACAACTTCTCATATATTTTAATGTTAACATCATCGTAACTCTTCTTTATAATCTGAATCTTCTTTTCTGTTCAAAAGAATTTTTCTATTTGATATCAAGAAACAGTAAATCCGTATGTAATGATATTCGAAATTAGAAAAATATTGTCAAATTCCGTTTAACATGATATTATATTGTAACACGTGTATGTCACGTGAGTGTATTCTCATTTTGATATTCTTCAACTTTTCTGGTTTTTGTTCAAAGTTTGCAATAAGAAAGAGGTGAAAAATGTTTAAATCAGATTAAGTTTAGTAGAAGTACAAAGGAAAGATGAGGTAATAGCGGCTATTTAGAAGGTATATTTGAACTCTAGATTTGATGCAAGCAGTTAGTGATCGTTTATATTCGTATTGGAAGTGTTAGTTGGGTTTACGTGTTTGAATTGAGTCTTAACTTTCTATTTAATGATCTCTATTTTGAAAAATAGGAAAAACAAGTTATTATTATTATTGGCATTGCTTGAACTTAGGAGATAATTGGTTTCTAAGACATCGGTGCATTGGAATATTCGATTGTTAAATAAATGAGATTTGTTTTTGATGAAATTTTTAATATCAGTGATGATGAAGGAGAGGAACAAGTGGGAGTCCAATTGACTGAAGATGACCTTAGAGAAGAAGAAGAATCGCCATTGACATCACCTCAGATGGAGTATACTTATATTAATGAGAGCGAGGAAGAAGAAGGAATACCGCATTTGAAGCTACCTAGAAAAAAGTTTTTGGATACTAACAATCAAGATCAGATTGAAGGTGATAAATCTCTTGAACCAGTACTAGAAGATGACGTCGTCGAGATGCTGAATGCTTTAAAATTGCAAGGGAAGCTGTTAAATGCAAGGGAATCCACTGCTCTGCCAATTGTTCCATCATACAAACAGTTAAAAGAATGTCTTAAATCAACTGATGTTCCGTTGTTATCAACAGGAAGAGATACAATTCTACGTGATGATTCTGGAGAAAGATTATTAAAATTACAAAATGATTTCAATGCCAAGATAGAAAATATATCGTCAAATATCAATAAGCAGATAGATTCAATTGTTAAGATAAGGACGCAAAAAGAGGAAGAGGAGCGTAGACGTAAAGCTGAAGAAGAACGTAGACGAAAGGAGGAAGAAGAACATAGACGTAAGGAAGAAGAAGAACGTAAACGTAAGGAAGAAGAATTGAAACGTCAAAAGGAGGAGGGAGAACGTAAACGTAAAGAAGAAGAGATTAAGAGGCAAGCTGAATTGAAAGAAAAGGAAGCCAAACAATTGTTAGAAAAACAGAAATATGAAAGTAATAAGAAGAAAGAAGTGACTAATTTTAATGAAATCGATAAAACATTTAAGCATTATAAGGACAAGATCATAGAGATAAAAGAGACAATTATTCAACCAGTTAAAAATGGAGACGCCAGTATGAAGAAGATTTTATCGCAACACAAGAGAAAGATCAATCCTAAATTTGGACAATTGACAAATAGTAATGGACAGCTGAGGAACGTGACTAATGCATTGATCACATTGATAGACGAAACCAAAGTGGATAAGTTGCCATACTTATGGATCCTAAATTTCATTGCAAAAGCTATAGTTTCGCAGTCAGAGACAGAAGTCAGAGTTAAACCTGAATCTGCGCTTCCGTTAGCCAAGCTTTCGTTGATATTGATGGTGAAATATAGCGAACTAAAGGAGTTGTTGATGGCCAGATTTGTGAAGAAATGTCCATTTGTGATAGGATACACCTGTTCGATAGATACCGAAGAAGGTAGACTAAGAATGGGGTGGAAACGTAGTGGAGAGGACAATAAATGGGAAGAAGACACTACATATGATGAGAGAATGGGCGGTATGATGACGCTGTATGCGGTTATAACGAGGTTACCAATACCGACAGAATATGTCAGTGATATGAACACGGTGGTGCATCCGCTGGGGATCAGCGAGTCATGGAGAGTATTGGCGAGGATTTGTAATTTGGATAGTCAATTAATTACCAATACTCATTTTATCTGTGTTGCGTCATGGTGGGAAGCAGCAGCTAAGGAATTTGTTGAAAAATATAGTAATCAAGGTAGGAAACTATTGAAGCTAGTTGGAGTTGATTTGGTTCAATCTGTGCAAGAGAAGAAATATATTGGGTCAGCAAGATTGAGTATATTAGTTGAAGAATGGATGCAAAACAACGTGATTAAAAGTTTCCCATCGATGGACCCGTAGTTGGTGATACGTTGTTGAAAAGATGAAAATATCGATGAATCAAGCACCACCACCCAAACCATCGGAAATGCAATACAGTGCAATACCTAAAACTTTAAGCATAGTTATAGTATAAGGTGCAATGGACTAGAGTCAATTGGGTGTTAAGCGATGGAAGACAATTGCGATAAGTGTATATACATATATACATACCCACATACGTATAAATATAGATATAGATATAGATATGAGTTTAAGAACAGTAGATGCGATTATTCCTCGAGTTCCAGTGTTGCCGTATCCTATAAATGTGAATTACTGTGAAGTGATCAATGGGTTTGGACGAGGATCCAGCGATCTGGGGATCCCTACAGCGAACGTTGATATCCATAGTCTTCCTAAAGTGATTGACGAGAAGCTTTCGCTGGGAGTGTATTTTGGGTTTTGCAAGTTGAAGAAGAAGAAGAACACGTACGTCGGAGGGATCCAGATGGTTGAGAGAGTTGATGGCCGGGAGGTTGAGTACAATTATGGGAGTCAGTTGGAAGAGGAAGCTGGTGATCTTGAGGTGTTGCCGGTAGTGTTATCGATTGGGGTGAATCCGTTTTACAATAAAGGGGTGGGAGCAGGAGCAGGAGCAGGAGCAGGAGCAGGAGAAGGAGAAGGGGAGGATAGGTTGAAGAAGACAGTTGAGTTGCATATTTGCATG